TAGGCAAATTTCTTTGAATTTGATCTCTTATTCTTCCTCGGACTGTTATTTTTAAACATAAGATTTTTGGCAAGAAAGATATTTTTTAATTTAAATATATTTAATTTAATTTTTGATCTAATCCTTAATAATTTAGATAGCAGTCTATTTCATTTTTTCTAAAATTATTGGTTATTGTTATAATTTAGTCTACAATTCAATTTTTTCAGAAGATTAACTATTCATTTTGAGATTCCCCTTTATATTTAAAATTTTGAATGCTTTTATAATCTAATTCAACAAATTTAGCATTAGCTTTTAAGCGTATTTTTTTGTTTCAAAACACAATTAAATTTAGTATTTACTTTTCAATTTTTTTATTTTGATTATTTTCAAATTTTTGAATAGCATAACTCTTTCAAATACATATTTGGATGGAGAACCCCTATTTTATAATGTTGTAAGTAGCTGATTAATTCTCCTTAGCCCACTGCACTTTAATTTTGAGCAGACTTTTTTGGTAATTCTTAACAATTCCCAAAAAAAAATATATCAACATTGGCATTTGCACAAACAAAACATAACTTACTAAATACTTGTCCATAGGAAGCTTTGATACATTAAATGTTGTTATTGAACAAACTACAAGCTTATTTATAACAATAATATTTTATAAGATTGGTACATTTTAGAATAAATTGAATTGTCAACTTTGGGTGCTCACATTTGTAAATTGGATTTGTTGAACAAATAGTTTGAAGAATTACTGTTATGATTAGTTAAAGCAGATGCTTCAGAAGTGATACTATAAACTAGACTAGGTTCTGGTTTTTATGAATTACATTTTGGTCCCACAGGCAAATATGAATTCTAGCAGGTTGCTTGTCGCTTAAAATTTAAAGAAATTTTTATATAATCTTCAGAATGATAACAATAAACAGTTATGTATACTTTTGTACATAAAATAGCAGTATCAGCATCAACTGGACACATAATATCTTCTATTAAGGCAAGCATAATAATAGCAAATAAAATCATATATCTCATTATTTTTAAAGTAAATTATTAAAGAATATGAACAACTTTATAAAATATATATCAAGACATTCATTAATTTAGGGGATTTATAAAAAGTGGAATATTATTATTATTTACTAACATTAATTGAATTCAATTAGAATTTTATAAAATTATAATTGATTTCAAAGTAATTTGTTCATCTGTATATTTTAATAAAGATTCTCATTCAAAATGCAATTTTTACCATTTCCATTTAGATAATAATAGAAAATTTTTGAAAATTATTTAATTATTTATCTGCAATAAGCATAATGTATATAGTTGAGTAACTGTAAATATAATTTAAATAACGCTTTTAAACATATTCTACTTTTAAATATAAAATTTATAAATGCTATTGATTCTTATTATCTTCATAATTCCTTAATTATTAACAAGATATACAAAAAAATTAAAAAATTTTTGAAATCAATAAATGAAACATAAGAAATGTTATATAATAATTAATTAATATAAATGAGTAGATAAGGCTAGCGCTGATGTTAATAATGAGTAAAATTCCTTGACTGTCTTACGGTAGGAAGTTGGATTGCAAACCTAAGATAAAGGAAAAGTTCTTTGAGATGCAATAATGAAGGATTTTAAATTATAAAGAGAAGATGCAAATAATTTATTTAAGGAATTATATTATTCAAGGATAAAAACAAAAAGAGTAAGGTAAATTAATTTTTCATAATTCTAAAGGAGAATCTGACTCAGATGATGGATTCAAAAAAGAGAAAAAGTGAAGTTACTAATAGATTCCAACCAGAAAGGGAGGTAATAGAAAAAGAAGCTGAATTATAATTCAATTATAATTAATTATTAAAGAAATATAATTTCTAAAAAGACTCGAAAAAATTAGTAACAGACTTATCCTGTATAATCATGTGAATTCAAATTTTCCATAATTTTCATCTTCCTTAAAAATTATTTCACATGATTCAATTACTAATTGAATTTTTTTATCATCATTTAAAAATATTCTCTATTTCAAAAAATTATTGATGCATAACCTTTTGAAGATATTTGATATTTACTTTTAGCAATTAAAAAGGAAGCATTTTTTGGATCTTAATCTGAATAATCCAATAAATCTTTATACAAGTTACTATGAATTTTTTTTCGCTTATCCTCTCATAATTATTCCTTTTTCAGGTTAATTCATTTCAATTATATTAAGCGCTCAGTAATCAAATTATAAAGAAACACTTAAATGATATCGATTTTTAAAAGTACTTTAAAAAAGAGTTTTGCAAATGATAATTGTTTCTACAAGTATTTTATATTTTATATTAAAAGTTTATTAGCCTGCTGCCATTTATGCTAATTTAGTACTGATAATCCTAAGTGAAATTAAAAAACTTAAAAACCTTACTAGAGTGGGCTATAATCGCTTATACCTTGAGTTTATTATTATGCATTACTAAACCCAAAACCTCAATCATATTTGTATATTAATTATAATAATTAAATCCAATTTATCACTTATAAATTTTCTTTCATATATTAATAATCCTATTTACTTAAACATTGAGATATCTTTGATAATGGTATTTATATTTTCTCCAATTATTTCGAAAAATCTTCATATTTCTTTTTGATTTATGCGAAAGAGTAATCCAATTAGGTTGTTAAATTAAGTATATTCTAATTGAATCTCATGATAAATTTGAGATTTAACCGAATCTTTTTAAATCTTTCTTGCAATTAGCATGTTTCATAGGGCAGTCACCACATTAAAGAAAGAATTAAAATCTTGAATCTTAAAATCAAAAATTTAAACAAAATCCTAATATATCTAATCCTTCATGTTGAATATCTTAACACATAAACAAGTTCTATAATTTCATTAAATAAATTAAGTTTCATATTTATGATTTAAATTTGATTAAAAATGCACTTAATATAATATAATATAACAGATTTAATTATTTCAAAGTAGAAAAAGAACCTACAAAACAATCTAGATAAATTAAGCAATTATTAAATTTTTTAATAAATCTTAAGGCTGTGGATCAAAATTAGAGCTAATAATTGAAGTATAGAAATTATAATTAGTTCATTAATTTCAAAAGATAAAATATAAAACAACTAGCAATAAGCTTCTCAAAAGGAAGTAAAGGTAAATTTGTAATAATAGATTTAAAGATAAAAACCTTTAAGAGAATTTATTTAAGCATATATTCTCTCTAATAAAAGTTTCTCAAAAAGTTCATAATTTTGATCCTCCTTTAATTTATAATTGCAAACGAATTTCTAATAGGAAATATTACTATAGAATCAGCCAAGAGTTGCATTGATAGGCTCAAAATTAGACTCGAATTACTTATAGCTTATAATTTAAGTTTTCAATATCAGTCCACTTCAATAAAATCCAAATACTTTGATTTTATTAAAGAAAGTTATTTTGACTTTTCACTTGATTGTCAAAAGAATTGCTAGTTTTATTCAGAGGCTTGAGAAGCTCAATCCATGTAGCTTAGACTCTTTTGCTCATGTGAAAGTAAATGTAAATAGTCTATAGTCTTTTCGGCCACTTTCGTATTTTATAGTTAAAGAAATATTTCTTATTATCATCTGAATTGACCTTTTATTAAGTTTTAATTTAATATTTATCTTGCTGGTAAGACTTTTTTATTTGCAATTAATATTTAAGTTTTCTGAGTTTTCAAAATCCCAGATATTTTTAAAAATAAGTCTTTTTGAAATCCATCAATATAACAATTATCATTTGTGATTTCTCCTCTATTCCTCTGCAAATTATCATTTATCTGAATAATTCTGATGATGATAACTCTGATAATGATTTGATCAATCTTGAGGTATCTAGGAAGATACTTGGAACTTAATTAGGTGTTAATGTTTTAGAACCTTTTAATAAGAGATTGGTGTAATCTATTATGATAATTTGATATTTGCCAAAGTGTAGGGTAAATCTTCTAAAAAATCAAAAATTCTAGTCATCTTTCTTAATTGATCTATATTACTTTTCTGATAAAAGAGAATCACGTGATTTAACAATGCTTAATTAATATTATTAAATACCTTATTTAATTTAATTCTTAATTGGTAGATCTTTCTTAAATTCTATTAGTGTCTAAATGGGGAATTTATTTTCACAGAAATCAATAGATCAACAAAAATTATCAAAACATATCAATTTTCATAGAAATATATTCACTTTACTATAAATTAATGAATATTAAGTATAGTTTTGATTAAAATTAGATTATTCAAATGATATATTTAGTAATCTTAAAAAAAAAAAAATTATATAGATATTTACTAATTATTACTATGAATAATAATAGTCTAATTAGAATGTTTATAGTGTATTAATATTCTTCAAGATTATTATTTTTTATTAAATTTCCTAAACTTATAAGCAATGGCTTACAGATAATCTCCTTAATTCCAATAATTCTGTAAAATAATTATGCTTATTTATTAATAATATACATCAAGTTTCATAATCTAAATTATCTGTAAATAAAGCCATATAAACTTTATTATAAGGCTACTTTCTATTTAATTCATAAAATATCCCATTGATAAAGCAAATTGCTTCTAACTATAATATACTGAAGATCCTCCTTTAATCTTATTTAATTATTATTGATACTGCAACATACTAGTATAAGATTTAAAGTGAGACATATCCAATTATGAAAAAATACTTAATAGAATTATTAATTGAAAATGGTTCCTTTATTTAATTTATTTAATCAATTAGCATAAGAATTATAGTTGATTTAGTATATAATTAAATTTAAACACAGAGAACTTCATAATTCATTACTTCTTTTTAACTCTTCCTATGCTTCTTATCCACCTTAAATTAATAAATTGTTTAATTCATTAAACTTTTATTTTATTTTTTTTGATCCTTTCGTCTATGATTTAAGTTCTATTATGTATAAATCTCTTATCATTATTTATGCTTAAATATGACAATAAAAATTAATAAAAATAATAAGAACTATTCTATTGTAATTTTTATTTATTGATTTTCTTCTCAATTGATTATTTTCTAAGAATAATTAATACAATATATCAAATCCTTGAATATCAAATTTAGACAATTCTTCAATTGATATCTATTTTCATGATCAATTAATCATTGACTGAATTATCTTGAGAATTCTGTTGTTATTAGTATTTTGAATATATTCGGTAGATCTTAAAATCTATTAATATGATATTGTCATCACTAATAATAGTCATAGCAGTTCTTCAGCATTGTTAGAGTGATTAAGTATAATCATTTATGATAAAAATTTGAATTTAGCAGTCTCATACTACCATGTTATAAATATGTATAATATGGTATTGCAGAATGATTGGTGTAAAAATTAGTTTTTGGATAATTAATGTTGAAAGTAGAGTGTACAATGATAAGCATAAGCATTTTAAAGGAACCTAAGATCATGAAAAGGAGGAGTAGAAGGAATATTTAGAGTATTTCTTAAAAAAGTAATAAGAAAGAGAATATGGATGAAGGGGAAAATTGATAATGTGTTTGGAAAATATTTAAATAAAGGAAAGTCAGCGAACTTTGGTGAATAATTAATAGAAAAGACAAAGAGAAGAGAGAGGAGAAAAGGAGAATAATAAAAGCTCAGGCTTATGATTCAAAACTGACTAGGAATTTTATTAGTAAAATATTTACATAATCTTGATTATTTGAGTGTGTAAGTATCATAAAGCTTTTTTAAAAATTTGGAAGATATACTTTAATCTATTAGATATGCACTAAAGGTTGACAGACCATTAGTAAAAATTGAAAGAAGTGATGAAAAACTTTCAAAGTTTGAGGAATCACGATTGAAAGATTACCTCTATGTAAATTGAATGAGGAAACAATAATTATTAGGGATACTTCAATATAGTTTTGGAGAAAACAGATTCGAAAATTGATTTGATACAAGAAAATTTAATATATATATATAAAGAATGGGGAATATGAAAAGTGGAATGAGAATCTTAAGTAAGCTTAAGAAAGTAAATTGGAAGGATAAGAAAGCATAAAATTGAAAAGTAACAACTATTCTCAATTTATTTTGGTTTAGAAGAATGTATGATTTGAAAAAATTGAGAGTTTTTGAGGAAGAGGACTAAATAAAAAAGGAAAATAAACTAAACTAAGAGAGGAGTTGGATAGTTGTATCTTCAAAAAGATTCTTTTCGAAAATTACTCTATATCTACAGAGAGATCAGCTTAAATCAACCTGTATTGACTAGTTTTTATAAGGTAGTATCATACTAAACTTTCATGATTTACATTTCTAATCTCAATTTCTTGTATTAAATTCAACCTTAAAAGTCATGATTTTCTATTTTTTGAATGACATAAACAATTTATTTGATGTTATTTCTCACAAAACGCAATGTAAATTCATTTTCTTCTTGTGTTGAATTCTATCCTTTTTAAAAGTATTCTTCTAAATAATTTTGATTTTCAGTATTTGAAAGATATCCCAGACAGTTTTATATATTTTGTTTTCTCAACATTTCAATTATCTAACAATATATTTGGTCATCAACATCCTTAACTTATGTGAAAATCTAAACTAGATCTTCCTTCTACTCATTAGAGTCATTCATCTTTCTTATTGTTAAAAAAATTATTGAATTTCTATTACTCTAATTTAAAGTTATATTTTGAAAATTGAAAAGTATCTTATTTATTTTTGCCAAGGTGAATACCATAGATTTGTTAAGATTTTAAGTTTCTGTATTAGTTTTAAAATCAGTCAGCAAGACAGTAGATCAAAATTTGGAAAGCTTCTTTCACAAAAAATATAAAATAAATAGTTTTTCTTTTGAAGAATTGTGAATTATTAATAATTAATCTATAAACAAAAATCAAATTCTATAATTGTTAATTTTCATTTTTTTGCTCTTTAATCAGAAGTAATAATGTAGTTTTTTATCAGATTATTTAGAGAAAGGAAAAAAACATGATTAAAATCTGGCTCGCTCCTTAATATTTGTAATAATTTCAATTGGATATAAAAGTGAATTATTTACAAAAAGCAATTACGTATTTCATTAAATAATTTGATATTTGATTTTTAGAAATAAATATAAAAATTTCAAATTGCAACATTTTCTAATTTTTATAAGACTTGGATAATTGAAATTCTAATAAAAGGATTTAAGGTCATATATTGTTTCTTTTAACAAAAGTGTGTAAATATAATTTCTCTCAATGAGTTTATTGCTCGTGGTTATTTTTGGGTTTTAGTTTATAGGATATTGCTTCTAAAACAATAAATCCATTTTAATTTCTTTGTTACTATTTAAATTTTGTCTATTAAAATTGACAATTTCGATTACCATAGTTTGAAAGATTGACATAATAATTTTATTGTCTTTAGACATATATTAGAAAATATCATTTCACGAACAACTACTTAATCTATAAAATATTTTATCAAAGATTATATTAATGGTTCTTTAAATATGTTTTAAGTTTTTTCAAGTGGTTCTATTTCATCTAAATTACCAAATTGTTTTATTTGTGTATAAGTTATGTGATTATCAAAACCCTTATTTTATTTTTTAAATAGTTAATATATTTTTTTCTAATTTTTAGATCAAGTAAGTCAATTTAATCTCTATACATTATTTAATTAAAATAAAATAAAGTCTTATAATTTTTGAAATTCCGATAAAATTTTATTGTTTACATCTTTAATTTTCATTTATTGAAGATATCTTTTCCATATTTATTTATTGAAATTCATGGATGTCATTTAATTGCAATTATTTGATAAAAATTGATGATTTAGACACATTTTAATCTCATATTTTCTTTCAAACTTATTGCTTCATATCAATTAAAATCTTCTCTTATTTTTTTTAGCATAATTGATATTTATTGAATATAATCAATTAGTAAGCATAAATGTTTCATATTAAATGAAGATAAGAAACTCTTTCAATCTTGTTATTTTTAATGCTGACTTTTCCATATAGCCTTGCTAAAGGAATTATTTACTTGAAATGTATATGTTCAAATTAATTTTTTTAGATTAAAAATATATTTGTTTTTGTTAATTTGCATGTTTTACAAAAAGCAAATTTGTGTTTATTATTAAAGGCTATTTCTTTCATTGTATTTATTAAATTTTCTTTTATCATTAATTCATAAGCAAATAAAGTGAATTATTTAAATGAGATGTAACAAATTAATATTCATCATATGAATATATTATATCTCTCCATATAATACTATTTCGGGCAGTTTAAAAAAAANTTATAGGATATTGCTTCTAAAACAATAAATCCATTTTAATTTCTTTGTTACTATTTAAATTTTGTCTATTAAAATTGACAATTTCGATTACCATAGTTTGAAAGATTGACATAATAATTTTATTGTCTTTAGACATATATTAGAAAATATCATTTCATGAACAACTACTTAATCTCTTTGTCTATTAAATATTTTATCAAAGATTATATTAATGGTTTTTTAAATATTTTTTAAGTTTTTTCAAGTGTTCTTTTTCATCTAAATTAACAAATTGTTTTATTTGTGTATAAATTATGTGATTATCAAAACCCTTATTTTATTTTTTAAATGGTTAATATATTTTTCTAATTTTTAGATCAAGTAAGTCAATTTAATCTCTATACATTATTTAATTAAAATAAAATAAAGTCTTATAATTTTTGAAATTCCGATAAAATTTTATTGTTTACATCTTTAATTTTCATTTATTGAAGATATCTTTTCCATATTTATTTATTGAAATTCATGGATGTCATTTAATTGCAATTATTTGATAAAAATTGATGATTTAGACACATTTTAATCTCATATTTTCTTTCAAACTTATTGCTTCATATCAATTAAAATCTTCTCTTATTTTTTTTAGCATAATTGATATTTATTGAATATAATCAATTAGTAAGCATAAATGTTTCATATTAAATGAAGATAAGAAACTCTTTCAATCTTGTTATTTTTAATGCTGACTTTTCCATATAGCCTTGCTAAAGGAATTATTTACTTGAAATGTATATGTTCAAATTAATTTTTTTAGATTAAAAATATATTTGTTTTTGTTAATTTGCATGTTTTACAAAAAGCAAATTTGTGTTTATTATTAAAGGCTATTTCTTTCATTGTATTTATTAAATTTTCTTTTATCATTAATTCATAAGCAAATAAAGTGAATTATTTAAATGAGATGTAACAAATTAATATTCATCATATGAATATATTATATCTCTCCATATAATACTATTTCGGGCAGTTTAAAAAAAAGCAGATTTGGAGAAAGGTGTTTGGTGATAATGGAGGTTTCCCTTTAAATAAAAATGTTACTTTTCTACTAAGTAGACTCTTCTTATGATGGTAAAATAATGAATTAAAATTTATAATCCACAATCATAGCATAATAATTAAATAATTTATTATATTTAAATTTTAGCAAATCACAAAAATTAATATTTAAAATCATAAATTTTTATGTGCAGATAATTAAAAAAACAAATAACAGCTGTGAAACAAATTGAAAATTTAATTTAATAATTGTTGTAATAATAAATTTTGCAAGTCCAACAGATGAAAAAAATTAATTTATTTAATAATAATAGTATTCATTAATATTAAATTTAATTTGGATTAATTATTTTACCATTCTATTCATTATATCATGGCTGATCCTCATAAAAGTGGAGTTCAGATATAAAATCAAATGGATATTTAAATATTCTGAATATCAAGATTTATTTGCATTAAGCAAAATATTATTAGAATATTTAAAATGATTATCTTAATTAATGTAAAGACGAATTTTCATATAGTAATTTTTATTTTAAATAATAAGTTTTATGCTACTACATCTCGTTTTTAAATTATTGTATTGTATTAACTATATTTGTATGCATTATTTAACAAAATAAAGAAGCTCAACCAAAAGTTAATCCTCGATTCAAAAATGATTATCTTGCAGGAAACACTTAAGAAATTTGTCTACAGTGTTTATTTCATCAATTTTAAAGTATCAAGTAGAATTATTAAATATATCTTTAAATTATTTGTATATCTAAAATAATAATAATAATAACAAGTTCTTTTTCACTTAAAAATTTTAGGATACAATTTTTGGTAGTTTTGATAAATTTTGCAATAATATATAATAATCCACTATTTTATAATTTATATATTAATTAATAACTAATTTTTACAGATGAAGAAGAGATTACCACTTATAATAATTTTTTCTTAATTTAATAAGGCGAAAAAGAATTACATAAGATTATATTCAGAATTAAACACAATATTGATAGGAAATCACAAAAATTTGATATAATTAGAGCAAGGATTATTGGCATTATTACAAAAAATAAATGATTTAGTTTTGAAAATAAGGGTTCTTTTTTAAAAGATAATCTGTATACAATTATGTCAAATGGAGTAGCGTTCGCATATTGATATTTAGGCTAATATCTTTTCATATCCTTAATATAAAAATATTTATTGAATAATAAATTTGGCTTTTGATTATGACTATCTATTTGAATTAAATGAATTAGGTATTAGGATATTAACATTTATGCCATAATAAATATAGAAAATCCAAGATTTATGAAATCAATAAAGTAAATTGCATAATAATAATCGGATTTCCAGATTAGTTTTTTTGAAGAATTTTAAATATAGTTTTATATGTTATCAATGATAAAATATTATTATTGGGTGTATTAAACGTAGGTGGAAATATAGATAAATGTTAAAGAGCAATAATGCGCACAATCCTTAAGTAGATAATAAATTTTAATGATATTTAAAATTATTTTTTTCATAATTTAATATTAACTGTGCAATCTCTGCAAAGAATTTAGTCTTAAATTAAAAAATTATAGAGGTCGAAAAGTATAAGGTCTTAAATGACTTCAACTCAAATTGAAAAGCCATTATTAAATAACGTATTTCAACCACAAAGTTAAATTTCAGTATATTAGAAAATAATGAAAATTTATTTAATATCAAGATCATTTCATATCACTCAAAACACGAGATTTAGTTGTTCTCGAGTCAAAATTAATTGAAATTCTTAGAATTATATATTTTATCATAATTTTTCAAGAAAAATGAATAATAGATATAAAATCAAAAGTAGTGGTATATCTTATACAAAATATTTCATCATAATTAAAACTATAACTTAAGTAACACTAAAGAAAATTGAACTGAAATAATAATAATAAATACAGTTTTCTATATAAGGTCCAGAAATCTATGGAAGAATAGATGAAACACGTAGCTCAGATGATCAAGTAATACTGTGATGCCTATATCCCAAAACCTAAACAACTAATTCCAGTTTGATAAATTAAATTCATATATCCATTATTATTATTGTATGTTCTCAAATTATGAATTCAAATTGATTTTGGTAACTTCAACAGCTTACCCTAGATTCTATATTTCTTATTCTAACAGAATATTATTTTGTAATTTATTTATGTATATGTATTATTGAATAATCATTTGACTCATTATTATTTATTAATTAGTTTCTCACATTTAGCTATAGATATAAATTAGTATAAATACCTTTGCGATTTTTGGATTATGAATAATTTGGATTGATTTAAATAGACTTATCATAATAAACAACTGCTTTTTAATATTTATATAATGATATAAATATAAATAATAAAAACCTTTTTGAAAATAAAGAGTAAAAACTATTTGGATTATAATTCAATGCTTCATCAATAATCTTAAGAGCTTCCTCATATTTACCCATTCCATGTAAGGATTCACCTATATAAAAGATGAATAATTACATTTTCTTCTTAATGAAGGGGCATGTTTTGAATCAATAGACAAAGCTTTATCAGCCCATATAATAGCATCATTATAATTACTTAAATAATATAAAAAAGAGGCTAATACATCTATCTATTATTTTTATACCTGTTATTTCTAATGAGTCGATATGTTTTGAATCAATATACAAAACTTTACCAACCCATATAATTGCATCATTATAATTATCTAGGTTATCTAAACACTTGGCTATTAAATTTATCTATAATGTTTATACCTTTATAACATAATGAATTAAGATGCTTTGAATTAATGAATAATGCAGTATCGAAGAATTTTATTCCTTCCTTATATTTATCATCATAATATAATTTATATCCTAAATTAATGATATCAATACCTTATTTATATAATTCTTCTACTTTTATTTTTCTTGTTCTTGATCTTATTGATTTTATTAATTATTATGTTATTACCTGAACATGTCTCTAGTTCCTTTAATAAATCTATTTTAATTTCATCAAATTGAATTATTTAATCTATAGCTTAATTCAATTGCTTTACGTTTAATTGTTACAATATTTCTTTAGAAAATTAAAATGTTTTTCTCAATTCTTAATTTAATTCTATAGTGATTTTTTTTAATTTCTTCAACCATTGAACATAATTTTGATATTAAATTTTCACTTTCTTGTTCGATTTTATGAAAAAAATCAATTAATTCAATTAAATTCTTTTAATCCTTAAAAAAAATGAAAAAGGTTTTTACAGTATTATACTTGTATCATTATTATTCTTATAAGTCATATGAAATAATTTTCTAGTTTTAATTTATTAATAAATAATTTAATCTAAAATGATAGAAAAAAGACTTTTTTGTTTTTAGAATTATAAGGCTCCAGTCTTAATGATTACTTGTGAATAAGAAAAAAAGCAAAATTAAAGACTTTATATACTTTATGCAAGAAAAATTTTAAATTAAAAATTAAAAACTTAATTATTGAATTTAAAGAAAGCTCATTAATATATTAAAAAAATCAAGAGTAAAAGAAATAATCCAATGTGTTCATGATCAACATTAATTAGCTTTAATAACTTCAAAATGCTCTTAATTAATTAAAATGTTATGTCGTTCAATAATAGGATTAATTGATTGGAAATGAAAATGAATGGATTAATTTGGATAATAACATCTTGTATATAGTTTCTTTGTTGAATTAGAAATACTGATTACTAATATTTAATTTGATTATAAATCTATGATTGATTAAATAGATTTGATAAATTAATCATAGAATCATAAGATCATTAATAAATTAAATTTATTTACATAATTTTAAGAAATTTAGAAATGTTAAAAACTATTAAATAATATAGTGATAGAGAATCATATTATGAATTAAAATGAGGTAACATAAGAGGAGGAGGACGTGTAGTAAAATTAATTGGAAATAATTAATGATCGATTAAGGAATTGAAATAACAATAATTGATGATTTTAATTAGTAAATTGGGTATTGTTTTGGTATAGTTGTAATAAAACTTGGATCAATTATGTTTTCTTGTAATAATAATAATAATGAGATTAAAATTTGGAATTTTGAATAAGGAAAATTAAAGTTAATTAATTAATTAATAATACCTTTATTTCTGGATCTCATGATCATACTATCCTTTGTTGGTAATAAATGAATGAAAAAGAGTGGAAGTGTTCATAGAAATTATAATAATATAGTGTAACAACCAGTTGCAAATTAAGGACGTAAAAATCGTGTAACTAATGATTAAAAATTTCTTTGGGTAACAAAAAATGAGTCTTAAATATAATATTAATGAAAGTATCAAATTAATTAAAAATAATGAATGTGAAGATGATGCATATTTCCCTATTATTCACAATAAAGAAAAAAATATATTATTAGTAAAACATAAACATCACATCTACAAGTGAGTATATTGTCTGTAATACAAGAATAACTAATACATTTGCTGGCAATAGTATCAGTGCCATAGTTCATTAAAATCTATTTTTTTGCGGCTAAACAGCCCCAGTTGAGTTTGATTTTATAAATGCATTTTAGAGAGAATGTAAAGAATTTAATCAATCAATTATAACCATCCTGATTATTATTTTTATGAAGTGCATGTCTTAAAAATAGGCTGTAAAATATTTTTCACATTTAACATAATTAATTCATTAAGTACATCTAGTAACATTCAATTTTTGATACGAAGAATAAACTCTTGAATAATAATACTGTATTACTAATCATATCATCATGAAACTCTGTATTCTTTAAATTCAAACATCAGCAAATTTGTTAATTCCTTCTATTTTAAATTTCAATTTGATGGTAATTCAAAATTTGAGTAAGGTTTAAACCTTTGTAGAATTCTATGATTAACTAAAGATGAAGTAGAGAAAATCCATTATCAACTAAAAATTATAACAATTAATTATTTCTGACGTTCTATAAAGTACAAAAATGAAGTAATCTGTAAATGCTTTCGTAGTTTAAAAATCAAAATAAATATCGTTTTAATTCACCCATCTCAAAAATTGCATCTAATTTAATTTCTGCTATTTCAATAGTATAATCCTAGCTATTATCAATGTGTAACATGAATACATTTTTGTAATTCTAAACCACATAAAAAATGAATTTGACGTTATGTTACCTGCATTGTAATATTATTGATCATCTCAAATAAATCTTAAAGTACATCTAAATCATAAATTCAATTTCTAAAAAAAATTTTTCCTTATAAATTGATTTCTTTTTGGTAAGATTTAATGCAAATAAATTTGAAATCATTTACTGACAGATATTTAATATCAAATCAATATTTAATTTTCTCAATAGATTCTAATTGATAAATAGTGATCAATTAAATAAATGTTAAAAATATATTTTAAGGTTAATCATTTGCTAATAATAATCAAATTATATTTTTGAAGGTGCTTTTGCCTTAAACTTCTTAATACACTGCTAAACATTTTAAAGTTTAATTTATTGATTTTATTGAATATTAAAAAAACCTTAGAATATAGATCTTCGAAAAAACAACGAAAAATATTCTTAATAACAACTTCAATTTTAGGGTTAAACATGTCCTATTTCATATGACAATTTTAGGAAAATGTGTTTTGAAAATGAAATAAAATTGACTTAAAGTCAATCAATATTAAAGATTCTTCTAATATTTTTGTTAAAGATTATCTTAGAAATGCATGAAGATTTGTTGATAAATAGATTTTAGCACAATTAAAATAAATTTATCATAAACAAAATAAAAATAATAATTATTCTCAGATATGTATAATATTAAAATATTCATTCTTCAAAACTGATCTAATTATGAATGCCAAAAAACCTCATCTTCAACCTTGAAAGTAATATACCAAATTCCAACCTTTCTACTATTTTTATATTAACCAGTTAAAGTGCATTAATAACTAGTTAAAAACCCCTAGCATAAATCGATCCAAAGTCCACACTTAATTAAACCTTATTATTCACTATATTATCCTCCACCCCTATATTTTTTATTTAATATTTACACTAATTAATTCTACTCATCTCCAAAATACTTTATACAACAAATATCCCATCTCCCAATTTTTCTACAATTTTTATACTCACCTTTAAAAGCTACCTATGATTTCTTATTGAAATTATCAGTTAACTCAATCCATCTTCCAACTTTAATATATCCTTATTCTTCATCGTATGATCCTCCACCACTAAGATTATTATTTGATATTACACTTATTAAAATTTTTAATCTCCATAATTCTGCTAAAACCAAATTTCCCATCTGCCAACTCTTTTACCACTTTTATATTCACCAATAAATGTGACTTAAGAACTAATATTAAATGAATGGCCCAACTCAATCCATTTTCCAATTTTAATTAATCCATGTTTTTCATCATTATATGATCCACCACCACTAAATTTATCATTTAAAATATACATTAATTCATTCTTTGTATCTCTAGAATTCTTTTAATAATAAATATCCCATCTACCAACTTTTACACCATTTATATATTCTCCAATATAAGTGACTTATGATAAATACTAAAATGTATCGCTAATCTCAATCCATTTTCCAAACTTATTAGAACTTAGCTCATCATAAGATCCAAAACCACTAAATTAGAATTTGCTAATTTACATTAATTTATCAGTTTCATCAAACTTTGATTTCCACAAAGTTTCCCATCTTCCAATTTTATTACCATTTTTATATTCACCTTTTGTTGTGATGCATTCATCAAAATTATTATGATCATCAAACTCACACCAAAACCCAATTTTAATTGAACCTTGTTCTTTATCATATGATCCACCACCACTAAATAATTTATACTTTTTAATATTTTTACATTTTTTTAAAATGTGTTCCTTTATCATCCCTTTTTTCTATATCCCATCTATCAACTTTTTTTCCATTTTTATATTCTCCATTATAGATAGTTTACCAATCATAACCAAAGTAATCGCTCGGTTCTATCCATCTCCCAATCTTAATAGAATCTACCTCATCATACGATCCACCACCACTAAATATGCATTTGTGAATATATTTTACATCATTTCTCCATGTTCAAAAATATCCCATCTACCTATTTTATTACCGTTTCTATATTGGCCAATATAAGTAATTAATGGGTATTATTAAAATCCATCACTCACTTCAATCCATTTTCCAATTTTAGTACCATTCTTATCATATAATCCTCCTCCGCTTAAATAGTTTTACTCGTAATATATTACATTGTATTTTCTATCTTATTCTGTCCCTTATCAAACCAAATATCCCATCTACCAATTTTTTTACCGCTTTTATATTGGCCAGTGTAAGTGATTTTTTCAAATTATTTATATCCTTCACTCAATTCAATCCATTGTCCAATTTTATTACCATCTCCATCATATGATCCACAACCACTTAAATAGTTTACTCTTAATATAATACATTAAATTATATTTATAAGTATTTAACTCTTAATACCAAACTTCCCATAAACCAACCTTTTTGCCATTTTTATATTCACCAGTATATTTGACTTAAGAATAATAGGAAAATTAATCACTCAACTCTGTCCATTTTCCATTCTTTCGACCTTAATAGTTATAACATCCAGCATCACTAAATTAAAAATAATTTGATCAAATACATTAATTATTCATTATATATATAATTCCAAATCCCATATCTTTAATCATCTATATAATATCCAGATTCGTATACTTCAGCTTTACTATTAAATAATTGAGTGATAATATACTTTCTATAATTTTTTGTAAGTTCTATCCACAAACCCTATTTTTTTTCATCATCAGAGTACCATCCACCAGCATCCCTTAACATTTCACCTTTCCATGTTGTAATCCATCTTCCTACCTTTTAATTAAATAACCCGTATTTTCCAGACCAATTTAGATGATATAGTTATTCTAAATTAGTATAATTTAAAAATCCCACAGATTAATTGTTTCTTAACTCTCTACCTTTAAAATAAAATTATTTACATTCTTAAGAGTTAACCATCAAAAAAGTACTTTCTTTCATTTTCATTCGTAATTGTTATAATTTAGATAATTTTCTAAAACCATCTTCGGCTTAACATTTTCCATACTTCGCAATCAAATACTTATTTTGTAATTTATTTGTGATTATTTTCATTTTATTGCCCTTATTGTTGATGGCTAGCTTAAAAAAATGTATACTCTATTCCTCTTAAGATATATTAGTAATTTGAACATGAGATTCCCATTTTTTTTTAATAAAAAATAATTATTAAATTATTTTTACTATTGTCATTCAAATTTAAATGCAAATTATAGAAAACTATATTAATAATCAAAAACGTTATATTAGAGAATTTTTTTGCTAGGCGTTTAGATTTAACAAAGAAGGTGAAATAGATGATCTATTTACAGCAATATTCTTCTTCTTAAATATAATTTAGCCATTTAATCGAAAATGGCTTCTTTTAAATAAGAGTGACTAAAAGAGGAACTTTACATGATATGATAGAATATAAAATATCATACCAATAAAAAAATAAGAATAATCTTAATCAAATATAATATTTTGATAATACTACTACAAAATTCTTAATTTTTAAATTAAGGGTATATAATAACAATATATTTAAATGTCAAACTTTTTATTTGGTGCCATATTTTCAGGATCATTCGTATCAAAATTAATAATCTATTAGTTCTATGGAGTTTAAAAATCAATTTATTTTTCTTCAATCTTAACATCAGATTTTAATACAATTGAATGTGTTGGAGATTTAGCATATGTAATAGGTTTTTACATATTAATTATTAAAGTAATATTTTACTTATAATTTAATTTCATTGCTTAAATTTTGACATGGTTTTCAACAAAAAAATATTATTAAGCATAATTTTTCGATGTGTTCTTTAATCCACCAACTCATTAACTGCAAGATAACTTGTATCTATCATAGAAGACAATTCTAATTTCCAAAATTAATCCAGAAATGCCTATAATTGTTTGAATGTATTTAAATTAAATTTTTAATGATTTACCATGACTCAAACAACCAATTTTTACTTTTTTAATATTTGATTTTTTTAATCCTCTTAGCTGAACAGCATTTTCTTTCCTTCTTATATTCACTTTTCATATTCTTTTTTTGCCTCTTCTAATTCTTTTTTAACTCCATAAACTTTTTAATCTCCAAGTTCAAACTATCATCTTAGTAACAGCTGAAATTTAATCTATTGTAAACAAGTATTCTAATTCAGATTGATCTTTGTTTTATTCAGTTGAATAGATTTGGCATATATGCACTACTGCTAAAACAGATTATATATATTAAATTTGTTTTAATTCTAAAAGTAATTTTCTCTGACTATCATAACAAAAAATTATAAGGTTGTTCCTACTTTTTTGTTTTTGAGCTTAAACTGCTTTTATTTATATCATCTTAGCTTAGGATTATACAATTAAGTTAGATTGTTATTAATAATTATTATATCTGAAACTCTGAAGAACCAAATTTAAACTTAAATTAATATATATTTTATCAGTATTCCATCATTAAATTAACCAAATATAAATTCAAATGTTCAAACTGAGAGAAAACTAAGAAAGAATAACATAATTTAACGAAAAAGAATGTAAGTACTATTAATGTGATGATATCTATTGCAAGATAAATATTGTCGAATGCTTACACTTTAATAAACCAAACTTAATAATAATAATTTAAATAATGATTATTACTAATGATATAATACTTAAAATAATAAAAGTTAAATAAATCCAAATGTTATTAGGGTTTGAATTTATTTTATATTTCTATATTTTATCAGTTTTTCCTCTTAAACCATAGATAGGTATAATCATATGTATAGCTCTTTAAGGCAAATAAAAAATGGTTCTAATACATAATAAACAATATTTTTAATATCAAGATTATTTTTTAATTAATAGATCTAAGTGACCAATTATATGAATTAGAAAGATGCTTTTAGCTTCACTTTATGAATTAATTACAAATTAAAGCCAGAGTTCTTGAACGGATGTTAAAATTTTTTCTTCATTATAAATTAACACAACTTTTATTTATGTAACAAATTTAATGACCATAAAATTTTTATTTCAATTAGAACTTAAGGCTACCAGCTAACTTTTGATTGAATTATATTAGTAAAAGATGATAAGATCAAATGAAATAAAATTTTCAATTTTGATGATTTTTCAGGTATTGTAATTTTCTTTTATTTAGGTTTATTAATTTCTAATATATCCTTTAGTATCTATTTTTATAATTTGCTAGTAAGTAACTATTTAAAAAAAAGAGGGATGAATTAGATTTTATTTTTATGATTATTTACATCACCTTCAAGATTTATAATCTATTTAGAACATATATTTGATGCTTTCTTTCATAGATGATAAAATGGAAAACTTTCTGATAATGAAAATCAAAAATATCAATTTTCCTTTTCATTCAATACGTTATTATTTTTTTTGATGAATTATGTTGTTCTAATTGAAAAGAAAACATATTAAACTTTTAATTACAATATGTTAATTTAAATAATTTGTAAAAGCATTCTCTAAAATTGTTCAAGAAGTGCTTTTAACTTATAAAAATGGTTTGAGCAATATATTCACACATGGAACCCTTAATTTTAATATTTTAAAAATCCTAAATAATGCTATTCAATTGAAATTTAAAAAAAGGACAAATAAATGAAACGAAGACCAAGTTTTACTCACCTAAACTCTTCAAGTACAATAGAGATTGCTCTACAAATTTACTTTTAATTATCTTCAATGAATGAGGTTACAATATTATTAATCCTACAGGCCCATTTATGAAACAAAAGAATATCTTGATTAAAATTAACAAAATGACAAGACTGCCATGAATTTTTTTCAAAATATTTTGAATGAAGCAACTTTTAGAGAAAATTTTCATCATAAATTAAGAAAGTCACATAATTTTTTTAATTTTAATTTAAAAAGGGAAAAATAAGTATAAAGTAACCAATTAATTGGATGGTCGTACAAATGGTGTCTGGACAGAAATACTTTAGCTTTATTTAGGATGGATAACTATTGGATTAGAAGATAAATATTTTAATTAGAAAAACTCTCCTAATAGTACTACATTAGCATCAGGTAATTAAGATAATTCAGTTCTCTTATGGAATGTTTAGACAAGAGTAGAATATTGACTAACCTTAACTACTAGGTCCATCTAATCTAAATTTTTTCTTATTTTCTCTTAAAAGTGCTTTATTAATATCTATTTTTCAAGTTAATCTTAAAGGTCAGAAAAGACTTATAAAGATTTTTTCTTCTTTCAAATACCCCATTATAACGCTCTACTTCCAGAATGAATTATTTTTTTAATATTATTTAGTCACTACTAGTATTATTATAACATTTTATCCTAATAGCCAATTTTGAAAGCATAAAGAACTCAAACTTGAAAGAAGAATATATAAATTAATAAAGAAAATACTTCTAATCAAAATTGTATTCTATTAATTTAATTGAATTAACATACATTCAAATTGATATTGATGTTATTACAAAAATTGTATTAAATGTAATTTAAAAAATTCTCACATAAAATAGTTAATATATGTTCCGAAATTCCTTATTAAATCTCAATTATTAATCAAATTTTTATATCATTTGAATCAAATACCTCCAAAACTTAAGAGGTAAATTAAATATATATATTATTTTTTTGTGATATAAAGTATCTTATGTATGTTTTTATATAACTATAGAAAAAACTAAAATTGTTATTATAATATAAAAATATAACTTTCAATATCATCAGTTTCCTAGAAAATTCTAAAATACACTGCACAATTATTTGATTATAACTCAGAAAATCATATTTCATGATTTGCAATTTATTTTTCAATAAATTTATAAAAAATTTAATATAATAATAACGTATGATAATTCTTTAATTTATGGTAAAAATTAGATAATTAATATTAAAAACTATTTTTCTGTATTTTTCTGGAGAAAACCTTCTCTATTCTCCTGCAAGATGGGTAAATTATTTTTCCATGTTAGAATTATTAGGATTTAACCAGGGGGAAGCCTTGTCAATAGATCCAATGAAATGCGTATTACAACAGAGGTGAATTTCTAATAGAGCTCTAGTATTAACATTTATAAAATTAGGTTTTCTAAATTGATTTTGGCAAGAGAGGATAGAAAATAATTATAGAATAGATAGGCATGAAACACTAAAGGTTGATGTTATTTATTTGATAATAGGTTTTATTTTTGTATAATAGAAATAAAGACAATAATCAGGATGAAACAGCTGTGTTAGTCATTTTTCTTATATTATTATTTATTTAGTGTATGAAAGACCAATTTTTAAATTATGATTAGTTTTTAAGGTTATCTATCAAAATCAATATTGTTCAGATTACAAAAATAAATTGTAGGATAGTTAAAATGTCCAACACCTTTAGTTTAATAATTCATTATTTATAAATTCAGAATTAATCAATTTATATATATTTATTATATGTTAATTAATTAGTAATTTATTGCATTTTATAACATTTTATTCATGAAATACATACAAAACAAATCTTAAAGATAGATAATAATTGAAAAGTAGTGTCAATTTTTTAGATTAATTATGGATTTAAAAGATTTTTCTATAAATTTCTTTTTAGATAGTAGCTTTATCATTCGCAGTGATATTAATATCACTTATAAAATATCTATTATTATGAGTAGCATTGTATAATGAAATTTAATCTCTTATAGTGTAGTCTAAAAAATTTAAAGAATTAATAATAAATAAATATTTTACAATTGATAATAATGATAAACTATAAGTTCATGTTAGGAAATCTTCTTATATTAATTCTAATCTGATTTACTTTGTTAATTTTATTGCTTTTTTATAAACCATTTTTTTAGTGGATGGAGAATTAAAGTTGAAAATGGAATTTATATTAAAGAAAACAAAAAAAGTTGAATTTTCAAATCAAATAATAAAATAGTATGAAGACTAATTCTATAATTTTTACAATCTATTAATTATTGATTAAAATTAAATTTTTTGAATTTGATTTATCGGTGTAACAATCCTTAAACTTATTTTTCTTTTTTACTAACAACATTATGTAGAATGTTTTCTAAGAGTATATTTCTTTTTCATTTGTATTTTTGTTATTCACAGTCTTTAGATGCGTTTCATGAATCATTAAAGGTCTGCTTAAAATTAATTAAGGAGTTACATCTTTAAACAAAACAAATGCCATATTTCATAACTTTTAGCTAAACTAGCAAGAATAGCTATATATTATTATAAATTATATAATTTCAATATAGATATTTTAGAAAATTGAGTATTATATGGTAGTTTATGAATTATTATTCATAACATTAAATTACTTGTTATTTGATCTTGAAACTTCTCATTTGGATATTGGTAGGCTGAATCACATTATTTTCCTTAACTTTTCAAATGTTTAGTATCCTTCTCTATTAATAAAAAGATAAATTTTTGGTAAATTTTAATTGGATAAAAAGAAATTTTATTCTAATTTAGCCACGGTTTTTTTCCGAAGAATATCGAGTATCAAAGATCCTTATTAAAGCTTCATATATTCTATCGAATTCTTAAAATGTAAATTCGTAATTGAAATATTTTGATTATGTGCAACTTTTGGTTTTATTAAAAATAAGGCCTAAAACAATTATACAAACATAATCTTCTTTTATGCAGCCTGAATGGAATATTATAAATCTTGATCTTGTATTTGCTATTAAGTAATTGATGAACATTCAAATAATATTTATGGATTAATAATTCATTAAGAAGTAACCTAATGGGAAATTATGTATTAAAGAGGATGAAGTTTAATAATAATTTGTTATATATAATTAAATAGCAATTAAAGGAGAAAGTCAACCTTGAATTTATAGATTTCCTTAGGTTTTTATATTATCACTAAAATAGGTTTTATTTATATTTATATTTTCTAATACTAATTCAGAATGTTAATATTTAGTTGTATAATCTATAGAAATGAGGAATTAAGGAAATCCTTGAACTAAGAATATACATGAATACTTGGGAAAATATATCAGATCCAGATAAGATAATACCATATAAAATTATGATATTTTATGAATAATAAGAACATAAATTGATACCATTAATCATATTTTCATCTTGGATGTAATCATCCTCAATATTGGTGAAGTTTTTATATAAAATCATGTATAAATATGTATTTTATATTTTAATTTTATAATTCTTAATATGTTAGTATGTTTAATAAAATTTGAAAGAATCATGAAATGCATTTATATAATTTATTCAGAAACAATATTTAAACAATAATTATAATTTATTCTCAAATAATAACTCTAAAAAACATTGATGAAAATTTGAAGTAATTTATTGGAACAATATAGGAATTATTTTTTATAAAAATTATATAGATATAATAGATAATTTGGTAATTCTGATAAGTCTCAAATTGTAGACTTATTATTCATATCCAACAAGAAAATTAAGTTACTTTACTTTCAATCTATTATATTATTAAAACAATTAAAATTAAAATATTATTTTATTTTTTCAATTTTTTATATAAATTGTTAAATTTATACCTGATCCATCTTAAAGTTTGACAATTTATTCAATCTATCATAGAAGGATTAATCATAAAACCTCTTTGTTAATATTAAGTCTAAGGTTAATCATTAAAGTACTTAATATATTTATTTTGCTCTTAAAAATTTATAAATGATATCGGTGTTGAAAAATAAATTTTATCATATTTAGATGATTTAACAAAATGAACAAAGAAAAATATAATTAAGCTTTTAAAATCTAAATGAGTCCAATCCTATTGTTTATTTTGTTCATTTCTGCTTCTTCTATTATCTTTAGTGACTCAGGATAATAACTATTTGATCATGCAGCAAATTTTGATTGTAGAAACAATTTTTAGACAACTAAAACAATTTAATTCTCAGGGGCTTTTCAAAATATTCCTTAAGTATTTATGTTTTAAGATTATTGTGATATACCAAATGCAATATCAGAATACTAATTTTCAATCACATCCATAACTTTGGTTGGTAATGCTATCATTAAATTAGATTTTTAAATTGTTGTCAAATGTCCAAAACCTGGATTAATATGGGGCATTAGATATTCATGGATTGCCTTAGATGATTCGAGAGTTTAAGTGATTAATTCATTTAATGTTGATCCACCATAGGATAAAGTATTTAATCATCAATTACTTAATGCTGATACTGCAATAATAGGACTTACAAGTTTAGGTTATAGTGGATAATTAGAATTCTAGCTATTGGTTATTCATTATATTTATTATAGGTAACCTAAATAACAAAAGACACTGTCTCAGTTGGGATAACTTAAGTAGCAGGAAAATTCGTTAATTTGAAATAAATTGGATACCAGATCTTATTAGTAGCTTCAAGAGATATTATAGATCTTGGATTAGTGACATTTAAACCAACTTATACCAGTAATGCTATAAATTTGGAAACAAATAAATGGCTCATATAGCCAATTCAAGGAATCAAATATAATTACGGAGCCCAATTGACTTTGAATGAATAAAAAACTATTGGAGCCTCGACAGTATCTTATTCATTTACAAAATGTAATAATTATCTATAAAAATGAAAGGGGGCCCTTATGATTAATCTGAATTCACAATTTAGAATTTATGGATGTCCTATTAATTAATAAAAAATTATGCATTAGAATGCTTTACTTTAAGAATCAGTTAAAAGTTAGATAGATCATAAAGTAATAGACCTAGATTTTTTGTTTAAATAATGCAAACAAATTAAATATATAATACTGTTGGAGAATATTCATTTAAAGTCTATAAACCTATTTAGAATATCAATTTTGTTACTGAAATAAATTGTATTACAGGAAAAAGAGTAATATCTAAATTTAATAAATGTAATTCTTGCTCTTCATTTGGGAAGAATTATCAATTTAATCATTATTGTCACTCTCAAATTAATTTAATAAGTTATTTTCCCAAATTTGCATAAACACAATCTGTTAATCAAGAATTTAAAATAATTATAACATCCAACAATTGTTTAGTGAAATAGATACTTTATAATTAAGCGAAAACAGAATAAGACATCATTAATATAGAATTTTAAGATCCATGAAAAATTGAACTTAAAATAACATATTATAAATAATCATTATTATTAAAATATTATCTTAAGTTATGAACCTAAAAAAAAAATAGAATCAAAATTATCTTGAGAGAATTCTTAATTAAGACTTTCTATACTTAAATTAATTTGTTTTCCCTTTTTTAAGTCTCAAAATATATATCAAATTGTTGTTACTATTTTTTGAATTTTTATGAGAAATTACTTAGATATTTCTTAACTTTAAATATACTTTATAATTTTCAAATGAATTTAGACAATATTATATTCTTCTAAGTTAACTCTTTCATTCAAACTCAAATTTCTTTAAGGTTTACTTATTTCTAATTCTTATTTAATTTATAATAGATCTTTTTTAATTGTGTGAAAGGTTTATTTAATAGTTATTATCAATTAATAATTGCATAAGTAAATTAGTATCCTCTTCTAATCAATACTATTTTAATTTATTTTTAATGGATAAAATTCATAAATTTTCTTCAATTATATTTTTTTAAATTGAACCTAGTTTCTGTATAAGATCTGAAAAATTATAATTCTATAAATCTAAATATAATTTATTTTGAAATATGTTAGAATGAGTGCACAGATTAAAAATTAAGCCATCTTGACTCTTTAGGTAACGAGGTTGTAAACTTAAAATCACTGGGTCTAATGGTTATATTTAGCCATATGAATTCGAAAAATTATATTAAAATTAGGAACAAACATACAAATTTTGTATGGTATACTGATTCTTTGGGTAGTTATATGCAAAAACTCAGATTTTCAACTATATTCATGACCCACTTTAAGGAAATTTGATAGATGCAGTAGAAAATTATCTAATAAAAAGATTACTAATTTCTGTATCCAATTCAGGTAATATAGACACAGTATGGTTAATTCTAAAATTAAATAGATGCCATTTGAATTTCTGCTAAGATTGGATTATGGAAACTTCCTTCCTTATAACTTTTATCAAAAGAAATTGATCTGAAAATATTAAAATTTATTATATTATTTTATATAAACCTCATTATAAATTAATTAATTATTAGATATATAATAATTAGAATATAATAATTAATTTAAATAACATAAATCTGAAAAGAATTAATGAAGTTCATTAAGAAAGATAGTATGATTTGAATTTCAGATCAAATCTGTGCAATTGAAGAGTAACAAGAAGTAATAATATTCTTATTCTATTTTACTTTTTGTAAATTAAGAGGAATATTAAATTTATTTACTCTCATACGTCTTTTAAATTATAATTTACTCTAATTCATTACTAAAAATTTCAAGTATTCAGAAGATCTATTTTGCTTTACTCACTTACAATTTCCCTTCCAAATATACAGGAACGTATTTATATTCAAATTAAGATAGGAAATCTCAATTTCTTTACTCCATACATCAGCCTAAAAATATTTTAATTTTACAATTTCTTTTGAAATTCCATCCTAATAGTTTTTGTAGTTTTGTTTTAACGATAATTATATATACTAAAGTTACTCCCAATACATTATTAATCTTCATTCATTTGTAATAATTTCATACCCTCCACCATATATATCTTTATTACAATGCCAAAAATGTTTGTAGTTCAAAATTTCTTATTCTTTTTCTTTGTATAAAATAATACATATAAAACAAAATAAGAATTTCATACAACTTCCAATTTTTCAAAACCCCCTTTTATTTTACTTATAGTAATTGTACTTATAATTTATTTTGAAAAATTTAAGAAAACCTTAGCTTTTTCAAATTATTTTGGTTGTTTTAATTACTTTTTTGAAATTACTGAACATGGTATCAATATTAATTTCATCTTCTATACTACTAGTAATCCTCAAAGTAGTTGAAATTATTAATTACTATATCTCCTTTATCCATATTTCATATTAACCACTATCAAATAAAAATTGTGATGTGTTATTGGTCGGTCCAAAAATTTTATTCAATTATTTTCCACAAGAAATCTTCTATCGAAAAATAATAGACAAATAAACAAAAATTGATTAAGAACTTCAATCTTTATTATCCTTTTAATAAAGTATATCATATTTATCTAGCCTTCTTTGTTAAGCTGATAAATTATTAATAACAAAGTAATTTCTAATTTATTTTTATATAAATTATAAAAAAATTTAGTAGGGACTGTGAAAGTAATCTTAATAAGTCGTCTTAAAAGAATTTATGCCTATTATTAAAATATTCTCATTTCACATAAATTCAAAGCATAAAATATCTAATTATCTATTCATATTTAGATAAATTAGTAAGATCAAAAAATTAGATTCCCAAAAAGCTAAACACTTTTTTCAAAAAAGATTTTTCCTATAATGTTTAATATAAACAAATCCTCAAATTTAGAAAAAAATTGAATGATCTCTCTTAAATAAAAAAAAAAATAGAACTTAAATCTTATTTGCTATTTATCAACTAAATGTAAGATAATTGGTATTCAAATTTATTACTTGTTAAGTCATCCTCGATTAATTATAATATGCAGTTAATTTATATCTACCCCTAATTATAACATATAAAAATCATTAAATACCTAAATAATTGAATCAATATAAAATATATTTTAAACTTCAAATAAAAGCGTTTGAAAGTTATAATAGTGATAACATATAAAGAATTCTTTAAAAATAAAAATTTGGATATTTCTCATAAATGTGCAACAACCAGTTAAAAGATAAATGATAATGCTAGTGCTTTTGAGTATTATTCAAGAGGCAAGGTAAATTATTTTATGGAATAATTTTTAGGAATTTAAAATTACTTAAAAAATTGAAGAAGCATTACTAGAAATCAATACTTCTTTGAATCTGAACCCTATATTTGCAGAAGCCTACAATTTAAGAAGTTTAATTTTATAATATCAATTTAGGTGAAATGTACTAAAAAATGAAATTTTATTATATGGCTTTGAAAGATGTAAATAGAAGTTTATCCATATACAAAAACACTTTTGAAAGTTATTATCAAAGAGGTATAAATTAAATCTTATTATTTGAGCAACAATTCATTGGATATAATAATTATAAATTTAATCTTGGTTTAGAAGATTGTTGGAAGTGTGTTTAGATTAATACAAATGTTACTTTGGGATATTGTAGAATAGTTAGCAAAATAAAAATAAATTTTTAAGCACTTATTGGAGATTTGAAATAAAAGGATAATTAACTAAAATATTACAATTAAGATATACATAAAGATAGTAATTGTGATCATGCATTTTTCTGTCGAGGTACTTAAAATTTATTCTATAAGGGTGTTATAATATGGATGAACAAAAAACTGATTAAGATTTAAGTGATTTCAGGTAATAAGTAAGGCCTTTTATATGATATTATTAGTGATATAGGAAATGCATTAAATGACAATAATCAAGTACTCCAATTAGATGAAAATTTTGCTAATGCCTCTCATCGAAAAGGTTTTATCCCCAATTAAGAATTTTAGTTCTTATTTTATAGGATTAGAATTAATATGAAAACGCTATAATCTGCTTTGATAAAGAGATTTCACTTGATTCAAATCATATGGATGCTTATTATAACAAAAGTTTTATGTTTTTTGTCATTTAGCAATTTCATTAGAATAATTGAACCTAATCTTTTTAGCCATAAAACTTTATAAATTAGTATTAACATTTAACCATCCTTCTTAAAATGAAATTTTTTAAACAATCAGTAAAATTTGATTATTTTATTGACACTGAATTTGTAAGCAATAAGGTAATTACAGTAGTAACTTCTCTAGGATAAATTTAAGCTAAACATTTATTTTATAAAGCGTTTTGAAGGACTCTTAATATGGATTCCTATTTTTCATTGTTCCATTTAGTAAAGCATATTTTATCTCATAAGTCAGTTCTCTTTATTTCAATTTTTGATTCTGAAGTAAAAGCCCAAAAATATGTAGCTAAACAAAATTCATAATTCAAACCTGTTAATCAAAGAAAACTTTTTCATCAAATACATTTTTAATAGACATAATTAGATTAATAAAAATTCTCTTAAAATTTAATGTAAAAGATTTTGATAATGCTAGATAAAATCTGATACATTTCTAGAGTCTGATTAGAAAAGGAAAATTAAAAAGTTTAGTTATATATAATATGATCATCTTTGAGCCTAATATGGTTAGTTTATTAACTAACTAAACTTCAGCAATTTAACATTTTAATCTCTAAAGGTATAATTGGTGAGCATATTAAATGTATTATAAATTAAATGACTTCTCAGTAAGAAATTCGATACCTAAATTGAAATAAATAAACTCAACACAATAAAAGAGAGAAAAGAGGGGTTATATTTTTGAGGAAAATTATTCAAAATGAATAAAGACTATAATAAACAACTCAAAAAAGAAAATGATTTGCTGTCTTTAATTAATTTTCAAAAAAGAATAAATAATCAGCAAGCCTTGAATACGATTAGCAAGAAGTTGGCTTTTTAAGAAAAAGAATTATAATATTACCAATTAAATTGTATTTTTATGGAATTTACATTTTCAATATACATTAATTTTACTTTTGAGTTAAAATATTCTATTTTCCCTTCTCAAATAGTGTTGAATTATTTTTAGACCTTATCAAAACATATATAAAGGATTGTCTTTAATAAATATTTTTTAATATTTTTGTATTTATTTCTATTTTAGAAAATCTATTGCACTATTCCTATAAAAATATATAGAATCAAAAGACATATTAGTTCAACAAAGACCAAGATGTAAATTCATATAGATATAATAAATTTAATATCTTTTTAAAATACTGATGATTCAAGTTAAAGTATTTGTATCGAATGAATTATTTAAAAATAACAAATATTTTCAATTTTACTAAATATATTGATACAAAAAAAAAACTATCAATCTTTAAATATTAGCCTTAGATGTTATTTTTTAAACCTAATTCTTATAAGTCTATTTATTTTCCTTTTTCAGATAGTAGGGTCTAGATAATCACAAGTCGGTGATCTCTAGAGTCCATATTCACTAAAGCAGAGGCAACAGAATCTGAACACTTATTCTGTTCCATGTAATCGATCCCAATTTTTTCCAGAACATCTTGCTTTAAAATAATTTAATGCAATTGATATTAAAAAAAACTCAAAAATTTTTTATAACTTTGAAGTAATATTGTTATCAAATATAGATTGTTGAAAACACTTAGGTTTAGATAATCATCATGCAGACATATTCTGAATGATTGTTTATGTGATTTTTTTTAATTTTATAAAATTAAAGTGACTTTTTTTTAGAAGTTTTGATTTAGATTAAATAATTTTCATTTATTTTTTAAAGATTACATAACTTTTCTTATTTTTGATAATCTTATAATTTATCTGATTATTTATTTTTGACATTTTAATCATTTTTCAATATTTATATTTTTGAAAATTTATTCATCCTGTATAACATCCTCTGTCGCATCTCCAACAGCTGTCTCAAAAAAATCAGGTTTAAGTAATTGCCTCAACCATACTACTATCACTAATTAGGCAGCAGACACTAAATAGTCCATTTGCTTTTTTCAAATTCTGAAAATAATAAAGAAATTCGTTTCTGGAGGTGTGAATACCTCCAGAAAAAGGGGCATTCTGAGTTTTCGAAGTATTTATAAAAATCCAAGCTGGTCCTCTGAAAAAACTGAAATCCTTCTAATTCCTAAGGAAATAATGTAATATGGATAAGGGTGAAATAAAATTTACGTTTTTAAGTTCATCCCCTTCAAAGGCACTATAATAAATTATTCTTGTATCAAAATTTCCTTACATCACTAATGATCGTGATTTAAATTTTTCCCATTTGATTATAAAATACTAAGATTTTTTCCACTTTACTCAAATGTTATCCAAATGCAGATCTAGTAGGTACAATGATAAGAATTTCTATGCTAACCTCAATTTTTCCTCCCTAGACATGTAATGCCAACCATATACCCTATTTCTATAATAGAAAGGGCTCCTCCTATCCCACCAGAGATGAGGAAGAAAAAAAATTATAAAAGAGAAATAACAGTATTTTTTGGAATAGCTTCATCTATCGTAATTAAAACCCAGTAAAGAACTTCTAGATGCTCCTATAAAGCTGGGAAATATCTTTGCTTTTAAGAAAAGGATTTTTAAGTATGAACTAAAATTTTTAGTATTTCTTCATAATATAAAATTAAATCAATCAGATATCCTTTGAAATTATATTCGCTTTATTATTTTTTTGAAAATTTTGGAACTACTAATTTTCTAATTCAAAAAGGCTATTAAGTTAAATAAATAATAAATTAGCATGTAAATGGATATAATAAACAAAGTGCTTCATAAAATTAGTTAATTCATTTTTGTTGCATAAATTTACTCTTAGGGTTAGTGTCATATAGGCCAAGAATTTATGGAGCTAAAATTGGATAGAAGCTGAATAAGCTGGAGTTAATTGATTTTTTACCTTGATGCTCATTTTAAATGAGTAAGTAAATTGTTCATATTAGATAATATGCTATCCAGACATCTCTATAAGATTATTTTTCCAATTAAGATTTAGAAAAAGGTTAAAATTAATTAGAAAAAATAACATGACGAATTTGAATTTTTAAGTCTTAATAATAGTAGGTGATAAAATTGAATTTCAAATTATATATAAAATATTTCTTTTAATAATTGCATTCAAATACATTTAATTTAAAGTTATTTTTATTTTTAAATATTCTATGGGAATTATTTGCTCTTCAAGCTAGCATGCGACAAAAGAAATTGAATTAAATATTAGGTAAATCATTTCTTTGATGATTAAAGTCATGATGAATATTAGGCAGAACATAAAGCGTTTGAAAATACCCTTAAGGAATATGAATACCTAAGACGAGATTATTATCATTAGGGATGGATGAAGACTAAATTTCTAGTTGCTTCTACAAAAACAAAGGAATTATTATACCTAAAAGATGGATAAATCCTTAGGATGTAAATAAATGATTTAAAAATAGAGAGTAAATTAAAGATTCTTCAAACAGTCTAGAAGTCTTAAATAATCTAGATCAAATAAAAAATCTAGAATGGGTTGGAAAATATGGAAAAGATAGCAAAAAAGTTGGCATTTGGACGGCTTTTTGGAATGGAGAAAGACTATAAGGAGTAGGTGGATTTTACTCAAAGGATGGATTAAAGCAGGGTATTTGGAAAGAATTAAGAAATAATTATTCTAAGTAATATTTAATAATGAATATATTAGCTATGCTCCAGTTTATGAAATTGGAGAATATATAAATAATTAGAAAAGAGGAATATGGAAATATATTTTAAAAAATAGAGTCATGTATTAATTTTTGATTATTTTTAGTGGTGGTGGAAATTATAATGATAAAGGAAAGAGGAATGGTAAATGGATTGAATTGAGTAATTATTTCTATAGGTATTAATTATAAAAATTAACTATTATAAGTAAATGTTAAGTCAGTTATGTAGGGGAATATAAAGATGGTAGGAAAGTTGGTATTTGGTTTATAGATTTTAATAGGAAAAGAAATAATTAATTAATGTAAGATTATTTATTAGATTTATATTAAATTACTGAAATTAATTAGTGGAGGAGGATTTTATGTTGAAACATAAGAAGAGGATGGTTTCATAAAAAAAGGAAAGTGGTTTGAAGAATTAGAGGGATATGACGAGTATCTATATAGGATTAAAGACATATTTTAGGCCTAGCCATATTAGTTTTTTGGGTGAATACAAAAATGGAATAAAGATTGGTATTTGGGACATAGAACATTAATATATTTGTAATAGAAAACTGTAATTTTGAATAATATTTTTCAATTAATTTAGAGGAGGAGGAATATATGAAAGCCAGCTCAATGTTGATGGTTTACTAACTTCAATCAAAGTTGGAAAATGGATTGATTTGTGCGATTGCTTTCATTAGTATTTTATTTATATTATCTATTTTTTAGTAATCGATTTATCACATATGAAGGCGAATATAAAAATGGGATAAAAATTGGTAGTTGGGATATTAAATGGGAATAAACTAAGATGTAATAATTATATTCGAAATTAAAAATAGAGGGGGTGGATTTTATGATGATAACAATCAAGACGATATTATGGAGGATTCAGTTAAAATTGGAATGTGGATTGAACATTCAGATACATTTAATAAGTATTTGTTATTTTTGAATTTTTTAGTAGTAGCTAAATTACTCATGTTGGAGAATATTAGAATGGTAAAAAACATGGGAAATGGGATATATATTTTAGGGATTATTCAAAGTAATTAATGTAATTATATTTTCTTTTTTAATAGTGCTGGAGGATAGTATGAAGTAAAACAAAAAGAAGGTGTGTTTTATTCATCTAAAATTGGATTCTGGACTGAAATATCTGAATTATTTGAAAAGTATTTTTCTTGATTATAATTATAAGTGGAAGATAAATATATTATTCAGGTGAATATGAGAATGGTCTTAAAGTAGGTAGATGGAATACATATTTTGCAAGCATATTCTGGCAACATGTTCAATTAATGTAAGTGAATGATATTATTTATTCCAAAAAGTGGTGGTGGATATTATTCTATAGATGAAAAATAAGATTTTTTGGCTTCAATGAAGACTGGAAAATGGATTGAATTTGAAACTGAATTTTTTAGCGATATCACTTCTACAGGAGAATATAATTATGGGAGAAAGGTTGGCAGATGGGATATTTGGACAAAAGAAGATGACGAAAATATAAGAATGTAATAATTAATAATGTATGCATGGGTATTTCAGTGGTGGTGGATCATATAGTGAAGCTGGAGTGAAGATAGGCAAGTGGGTTGATTTATATGCCAAACCTTCTAATGTAAAATTAATAACTTATAATGGTGAATATAAAAATGGTAAAAAAGTAGGTCGATGGGATATTGAGTTTAGATAGGATAAAGATAAACCATTCTCTTAAATGTAAAATTAATATATAAGGAGGTTATAGAGGTGGTGGTTCATATAATGAGAAAGGTGATGGAATTAAGATTGGGTAATGGATTGAGTTAAAAGGAAAATCAAAAGACGAAACTTGTAATGGTGAATATTAAAATGGTAAAAAAGTTGGTAAATGGGTGGTATCAAAAAGAGATAAGAATAAAATGGAGGAGATATTATAAATAGTCAAAGAAATCAAATATGATTATTGAAATAATAATAATAGTTATTTGGTAAATGTCGATAGTTCTAAAATATATTTATTTAATGTTCCTATTTGTATTAAAATTTGAGAATTATTGTAATGATATTTTATTAAGATTATCTTGTCTTAATTAATTTTTGAGGATCATTAAATTAGTTTATTGATTTAAAATTTTATTTTTTTTATGATTATAAAATGGAATTTGATTAAGGGTTTTTTTGATTAAATAGTATGTTTTCTTTAACTTTACAATTGATAAGGATATTGGTTCGAATGATTTTCATGATTAGTAAAAAACAAGATATAAATTAAACTATTTTGATTTTGTTAGACCATTTAACATTATAGTTTTTTTTATTATTATAAATATATCTAATTGTTTTTCCTCCTTATTTCTAAGCTCTATCAATTTGTTATATTTTAATAAGTACACATCTTTATCATAAAAAAGAGAACAATAAAACGATTAGAAATTCTTTTAAAGGAATGATAAAAGTCATAAAATATTAATTATTTTAATAGTTTTAAAATTTCAAAAGTAGAATAGAAATCACACATAATGTGATTATTTAATTAATTTAGAAATTGGAAATAAATATTTTATTGAAAATCAAAATTATTTTGAGGAAAAAATTGCTCTTGTTTAAAAAATTTACTATTAAATGAAGCTATTGTTTTGAAATAGAAGTATTTCAACAAAAAAGATATTCGATGAAATCAACATAGTAAAATAAAAAAGATTAGAAAGTTTTAGTTAAACGAGACTTCTAACATATAAATCTAATATTTTTCATTCTCATTTTAAATCCCCTCTATTAAAGGGTTGGGTTTG